GTGTGTGTGTGTGTGTGTGTGTGTGTGTGTGTGTGTGTGTGTGTGTGGGGTAGTGATATCCTACAGTGCTTTGTGATAATGTCACAGTGGCTTTAGTCAGCAAGACCAAGCTTAGAGGACCCATTTATACATCTGCTGTTGCCTGGTATCACGTATTACTCACATGCACTGAATGCAACACTAAAGTATGGATAACAGAAAACACTGCGTACAGATGTGACGTTCACTCAGAACACCGGTCCCCAGGATGACAGTCAGTTAGTTTGACCCATCCACCCTCTCTCCTGCACTTTATACTGCGTCCGCTAAAGGGGCCCCACCGAGCATCGAACTCCTATGCGGAGGGTCACTAACCAACCGTCGTCTTTTTGCCCGGTTGGGAGTGAGGACGCTTTGGGTGAACAGGCTGTGAATGGGAGGGTACTCTTTTAGTATCGTTTGTGCTCTGCACAGGGACCTCGTGGACTGAGGGTGTCTTTGCATCCTTTTCCCCTAAAATCAACAATCAGCTGCTTTGTTCTTCTGATGTTGAGCAGTAGGTTGTTCTCTGAGCACCACTTCCTCTGTGAATGAAGTCTCACCATTGTTTGTAATCCGGCCCATGACAGTACTGTATCGTAGGAGCCCACTGCTGCTACTGCTAGGATGGGTTACATGTTTCACTGTGTACATGTATGACAAAAAGGTTCATTGACATTAGATTCTTTCTTAATGTAGTAACTTTGATTAGGGCAGCATTAAGCTGGGACCTCACTAAAAGACAAGACAGCCAAGAAACACAAGCAGACTAATCCAAATTCTCAAGTCCCAGATTTTGAACCCTCCTGGGTTATTCAAATGCGAAATTAACCCTCTGTTGTCAACATTCATCACAATTTGCAGACCGACTTCCTGATTCATCTTTTGGGTTCTATATAAAGTAGTAAGAATAACTCCCAAAATAAGTCGTAATAAACAGAAATTACTCTGAGACGCGGTTTCAGTCCAGTCAGTTGTGATTCATTCCCCTTTTTGTGTCTTTTCATTGCAGCCGAAGAAGTTGGGCCTCTCTAACTTGACTCACCTCAGGAGGAGGCGGCCGGATGAATCCACAGACTACGTCTGTCCAATCGAGTCGTCCTCGCCTCAGTCAGGACAGTCTGCAGTGAACGGGGTGCAGGTGCGGCCCTACGCCGGCTTCAGAGGCCTGAGCCCGATCCTGGACAGAGAACCCGACCTCTCCAGGGACCAGGTGGGGCTCGGCCACAGCAGAGCTGACCCATCCCCCTGACGACAGCTGTGTTCCCTCAACCAATCCGCTGCCACTGCTACTATTCAGCTTCCTTTGCTTGCGGCCCATAATACCTCAGCCCGTCCCCTCCCTGCTCCTCTAGAGCCCCGTGCCTTACGAGTGAAGAGATTCAGAGCCGCCACACGGCTGCTTCTACTGACACCATCGATCTATACACTCATCTCCAGACCTCCGTCTCTAACCGGTGCCATGATGGAGCTCATCATGAGAGAGCACAGCATCTCTCTGACACCACTTTCTGTGATCCATACACCAGTATATATTGATAGCTCTTGCTGTACAGTATTCAGCCATTACTCTAACATATGTGCATCACCAGTAGATGATTCTGTATGTGTGAGTCCGTCATTCCATCATTTACCACTTTAACACCCTTCTGTTACGTGGTCGAGATGAACTTGTGCAATATTTGCATAATATTATGGAGGGCTTTGATTTAATATTGATGTCATTGCAGAGCTAATTATTAAACAGCATGTTAGGTTTGAACCTGGGGGGTCATTTTTTACTGTTATTTTCATATTTGCTGTAATAGTATTTTTATAGGAAAGATGATGCTGCTCTGCTAAAGGAAGCTCATGTGTGCTCATGTAAATGTAAAAAGTTTTACCGAATCATTTAATAAACAAGATCACACACGTGTAAAGTTGATTCCTTTTTTCGACACAAAAGGCAGAGAGGTGAGATCAGAAGTAGTTATTTTGGATGTACAACATTGTTAGGGGCGTGTCCTCTCTTCAGGAAGCATACACTACTTCCTGTGTTTGTCTTTTTAAATCACTACCACTACTAAAGATAAACAGATGTGGCTTCAACTACTAACCTGCTTTCATCATCATCCTCATCATCCTCTCCATCATGGCTGTTTATGACGCCAGCTCCCACTCTGCGGACCAATCTGAACCAAGATGGCTGCTGACCATTACCATGGGTCACCATCGGGAAGTGCATGTTTGAGATTGGCCCATTCAGCATGCAGCTGCAGGTACAACCCTCCTGCATTACTTCACTCAGTAATGTATAGTACACTTCTGTGTACTTATACAAACTAACGCCTACATGAGGAAAGTTGCCATTGTCTCACTGGAAGTATGTCTGTGGTTGTTATCATGGCTTCATGAGACCTGTGTGTGTGCGTGTGTGTGTGTGTGTGTGTGTGTGTGTGTTGCAGATGGCGACCACAGGGGGTACCATCCTGCAAATAGAAGCTCTCTCTGAAAGCATCAACAACCTCACAGTAAGTACAAACACACACACACCCACACCCCAGCTGCAGGTAATGACTCGTGCAGCTCGCTCCCACACAAGATGCTCCTCGTCGCTTGTAACAGAAGTTTGAGTGACTCAGAGGGCGAACTCTGGAGGGAGGAACCATTACAACCAGTCCGACCATGACTTCCAGAGTCAAAGCTGCTGGTATCAGGCCCATGCCTGAAGTCTTGGGTCTTTTGCTCCTGTTGCGTTTGCTGAAGTCATTTAATGAATTGAACCCTAAGGCTTTGGATCACAAACGTGTAGAACCACCATAGCTGCAACATCTCCAGTGAACCAGTGGAGCTGAGTACCATGTTACTATATTCAGTCAAAAAATCATTATTATTAACATTGTTGTTATTACATTTGTTGTTTTTTTAATGTTGAAAGTTAAGAGCAAATGTATGACATTGTGAATTAAATCCTTCATTTATAATAATAATAGTAAAACGTAATAATACTACAAAAAATGAGAATACAAGTTAAAAACAATTCATTCCACTCTTTACTTGTGCTTAGTGTCTTTCTTGCTTAGAGTTGGATCAGAAAAGTGACAGCCTTCTCACGCCTGTATGGTTAATATGTAGCTGCAGCCAGCAGCCGTTAGCTTAGCTTAGCATTAAGACTGGAAACAGCTAGCATGGCTCTGTCCAAAGGTAGCCCCCTCTCAAGTTTACTAATTAACCTGTTACATCTATTTTGTTTAATCCATACAAAGAAGTGCTAAAATGACAATTTAAGTAAACTTTAATGTTGTTATGTTCGGGACACATTTCTTGGCCGTGAGCAGTAACTTTCTTTCTGCTGGCAACGACCGGCAGTTTTTGTTCCCTTTGGACAGAGCCAGGCCAGCCCTGTTTCCTGTCTTTATGCTAAGCTAACTGGCGGCTAGTTCCTGCTGCATCTTTGGCACACCGGTGTGGCATTAGCCTTCTCATCTAACTCTCTGCTCTAACACTATTTCCAAAATGTTGAACTATCCCTTTAAATGAAAGTGCAAAAATAATTTAGTAAAATGATCGAAATGAAACGTCCTTAACATGTAGGCAGTATTGTAATGATCTAATGTAGCTGCTCGTATACTTAATGTGTACTTGTGTTCTTATTCTTGTAGCTGAGCTCTGCTGTGACTCTGGTTGTGCTCTGACTTGGGATACGTTTTCCTCATACATCCTGCAAGGTGCCACATGTTATGTGTAGCATTTTAGACATAGCTGTTATCATTTCCACTAACAAGTCTTTCTGCAGGTACTGCCTTTAAAACCAGGACCATTCTTTCCATGAATCGTTGTCAAAGTTGACTGTTGAAATAGAAAAACATGCTGTTTGTTCTGTGTACCATAAAGCAATCTGACACCAACAAGAGCCAGTGAAGGTCTTATTTGTTTATCCCCAGGTATACTGAAACTAATTGTGTAAACTGATCCCAGCTCAGTGGTACACGACGATTCCCAAGCTCTCTAACCCATTACCACTCCAATGATGCTTTGCTTTCAGTACCTGCTCAGCCGAGACGAGCTGCAGAAGGAGCTGAGGCGATCTCAGACGGCGCTAGTTTGAAGGACAATGACCTGATGCTGTTGGCTCACTAATGCTGTCAATCAACAGTGTGACCCCTGAAGCCCCGGCCTAACACTCATACCTCATATAACACCTACAGCCGCTCTGAAGTCACTCTGCGCTGGACTTAGGAGCACCAGTGGAAACAGTCATGTGCCGCTTACAGAAATCTTTGTTTTCATTCCTACAATAACTGAACTGTTACTCGTTAGCCCTCTGGGGTGTTTCTGTTACTGCTTCCCTTGTTTACCTATGCAATGTGCCCTTAAATGATCCCACTGTGTACTCTGTGCACTTTACTGGTATATGAAAGGAAAGAACAGGGACTCACTTCCTGCCTCAGGGCAATCATGTGATATACAGAAGAGGCTATGACATATTTTTAATGGAATATTTGATTGCTCAAAGGTGACAAATGGAGGTTCAGCCACTCTGAAGATCTCCCAAGAAACGAGACAAGAGTGGCCCAAATTGGAAATTGATTCAATCAATGGGACGGAAACACACACACACACACACACACACACACACACACACACACATTTGTGTTGAGTTAAGTTCCTCAGCATTAACAGCATGTGTTGGTTTCGTTAGTTAAAAAGGCAGAGTGGGACACAAAGTGGTCCATGTTACTTTGTTGGAATGACTTTTATTGTTTCAGGAGGTAAAGATTCACTGTAGATGATTCATAGTATTTACTATAAACTGAGATACAGAAGCTACACAGAAAACATTTGACTCTACGAAAGCTTCTTCATAAAAGGTCAGAGAAAGAACAGAATTCCTTTGGAGCCTGGAGGTAATGAAAGGACCTGAATGCTCCTCAGCGATGTGTTCAGGGACAGTCCTCAGGTCAGTCTGAGAGACACCATCAGTGATATTGTAGATCATTATTATTGTAGCATCCAGCAACGGATCTGTGCATAAAATGCCAGAAAACAGATAGTTGGTCAGATAAGGTGATGTAAGAGATGTGTGAAGGAGCTCTAGCACCGTGGGAAAGTGGAAATATATTCACTTCCAATCAAGCCCAACCAATACATGCATAGTCAGCTATATTTGAGGTCAGTTCGGACATTACATAATCTGTTCGCTGAAAGCACTGGCAGCTTCATATCTCTGTTGCAATTGTGAATGAATAAAGATGCACTAATCTATATTTCTATATTAAAGGTGGATCATATAACATAGAGATGCACCGATATTGACTAGAATAGCCGGATCAGTTATCAGTGACAATGGGCCGATCCGGTATCGGGTACCATTATTTGAATAAAGTACAATTCAGTACATTTCCATCTATGTATTTGTTTGTTACATTTAGTTTTACAAAGTTATGGAAGTATTGTTTAAGTCGAGCCTGATGTTGCCTTACACATAAAGCATGATCCCAGTCACTTCCACACAAACATCCAGCTCATTAATAAACGCTGGTATCTGATCAGTACACAGTACCACTGTCGGTACTGAAAAAGGTGTGATGTGGAATGGGTTGTATGTGGTGCTGAACGCACAGTGAATTCTCTCTGCAGTTCCCCTGAGAGCTGCTTTGCTGTCTTTCAGCTCAGTGTTTTGGTTGTACGGCCCACAACTCTGGTGATAAAGTGTTTTCTCTGCTCTTGTCAGCCATGTTCCAGCAGCAGGCCGCTGCTGTACTCTACCTGCTCAGCAGCAGCAGACAGACACAGTGGGAGACTAACTGGTGAACACAGTGGAGCATTTAGCAGCTAAAGAGACAAACATGTTTCTAAGAAGTAGGTCCTAAAAGGAATCAGTATATAAATGTATTTTTATGTTGTTGTGTATATGTTAAGAAATAAATGAAAATGTTGGCCAATGTATCATTATCGTATTTTGTAAACTCGAATTGGGCACAAAAGAACTATGTTGCTTCAACAATATAAATGATGGCAATATTTGGTCTGGTATCAGCACAGACTACGGATCATTTGACCCTGTTCTCCCACATTGTTCTATGGCGTACAGCACTGTTTCTGAGGATGTGTAACTGTCCATGTAGGGAAGATAACCTACATTACAAAGTGTACGTATGAGTGCACAAAGAAGAGCAGAATGATACGATAGGGATGGTTGCTTTGGGGTTTTGAGTTTACAGAGAGGTAAACAGCTAATGATACTAGTAAGGTAACCTCAGACTAATGCAAACACATGCAGTACCTGCATTAACACAGTGGTAGGGTAAAACTATTGGACGATCCTACAGCTGGACTAGCTCACAAAAAGATGAAGTCCTATACGGTCATGAGACCAATAAACGTCAGATGAAGTCCCTCCTGTCCATCAAGCAGCCCCATCTACCAATCTGAATGAAACTGCCCTCTCATCCTCCAATGTGACATTACAATAGAGAACCAACCTTCCTCTTGAAGAGAGACAGTGAAGTAATTTGTTTAGCCATCAAACCCTTCAGGCTTACCCCAGTTAACTGGTAAGATGAGTCTTTTGTTGACTTACCTAAAATGTGACAGACACCACACCCGTGCTAACACTGTCAGCAGAAAAGCTGGGATAGAAAACCCTTTTTATTCTACTGAAGGTTTTGTACACGTCAGGAGACTGAAGACTGAGCTTCACATACGGCACCACACACACACACACACACACACGCACACACACACCTGTGTATCTCAGCAGGGCAGGGGACAGGAGCGAAGGGCAGGTATTGGATTTGCAACTACGGAAACCTCCAGACCCGTCCTGGTAAGCATCTTTAATCATTTTTATAGATATCACACCATGTTATTCCCACTGTATTTGTGCATCGCATAGGTGGACAGAAATTTGGTAGATTTTTAATGTACAACATGAACAGATAATCATGTCTTCACTGTTAAATGAAGGACCGGACAGTAGCAATGGATCTATATGGCAGGACAGCATTAATACAGATGTACCTCAAAATACGAGACTCAACTTTTACCACTAATCTTTCCAGTGTATCAGGGAGACCACCCTCTGATCTCCATCATCAGTCCACCATGGGCCAGACCAGTAGCAAACCCTCCTCCAACCCCTTCCAGAACTCCCAATTGTTCTCCTTTAAGAACCGCTCCACAAGCCGCCCCTCCAATGATCAGAACACGCCCCCTCGACTGAGCATCTTCTCCACACTGAGGCCCCCCGTTGTCAAACCCAACAATTTCATACCTCTATTCAACGACTGCATCTCTGCCGCCTCATCCAGAACTCAAGAGTACCTCCTCTTCAAAGACCCAGAGGACAAGTTCCACCCGAGCCCTGAGGTGCTCACTCAGGTTGGTAACTTTGTACAGCACCTCTTTAGAATTTCACAACAATTCTTTTCAGTGGTCTCTAAAACATCTTGTCTTCCAACAGGTCTTCCTGATGACATACATCTCTCAGAGCGTCAGCCTGAACATCACAGACTCCTTCAACTGCACGGCCATGACGCCCGAGCAGCGCATCCTCCTGGGGGCCGACTGGGTCTGGGCTGTGCTGGAGAAGCCCACCAAGAACCCTCAGATCCAGATCGCCGTGCAGGTCCTTCACCTGCACGACAAGGAGGAAGCCGAGGAGGACGGCATCCCCTCGGATGCCCGAAGTGAGTCTGTCCAGATTGCCCAGGAGTCCAGCAACAAGACCATGTACGAGAGGATAGTGGACTTCTGCACCTCCATCGGCAAGGACTGCTACGCCCTCTTCTTGTTCTTGGGGAAGAAGAGCGACAAGGGCAATATCTACGGCGTCCTCAGCAACAACTTTGAGGCTGCCATCGGGAAGTGTGATCAGATTGACAGAGCTTTTATCGAGAACTTCTTCAAAGGCTCGAGGTATCTCTATACACCTTCAGGAATGATGCAGGCCATTGTCACCAAGAAAGAGGGAGACTCTCTCACTCTCATGATTAAATTCAGCTGAACCAGAGGGACTCGTAATATTTAATGGCCAATAACTGGATTTAGTAATAAAACTTGATGTGGTAGAAATTGGTGGTTTCTTGGTGCATCTCTGTAGGAACAACCTCCAGACCTACGAAGATGTTGAGTTTGTTAAAGTCGTAGGAAAAGATTCTGGTTATTTTCTATCTATCCCAGGTGTTGATGGTGCTTCTCACAAGAATTGTAAAGATTTCTGCTTTTTACTTGGAGTCCTGTTTTCTAACATCTTAATCTAGTCAAACACGTCACCTTAAAACACGTCATTCAAAAACAAGTCCAAACATCTCTAAAGCTCTAAAAAGAGCTGCACATTTCATCATACCATTTCTAAACTAGCAGAACACGGTGCTCAGGCTTTAGAGGGTAACTGGAGAGCTAGACAGTGTGTGAATGTGTTTTAATCAGTTGTCTTTATTTTCCTGTGATATACTGACAGTGGGCTTTTTACTGAGAACTACACAACATGATGGCAAAACAAGGAAAATGATACCCAAAGTTGAGAATAAGTGGATTATTTTAATGAATAAATGTTACCAATAAAATGATTGTGTGAGTGCAGAGGCAGAATTGAATTCATTTGATCAGTTGGATTTCATCAGTCCTGACACTAAACACAGCTCAAAGCATCCCAGTGGAACACAGATCCCTGTTCACAGCGAGGCTTTCTTCACTGGGATGTTTTGCATATTGCCACTGAGCAGTTGAGCAACATGATCTACTGTTTGGATTTAAGCGGAGAATGGTGTGGAAGTACTTTTACTTGAAACTACTCTGCTTGAGGTAGATTCTTGTTTGCATATTGCAGCTGGTGACCTGAAGGCTGGGGGCGATTGTGGCTAAGTGGAGAGCAGGGCCGTCTTTCAATCAGAGGGTCGGCAGTTCGAACTCCGGCTCCGCTAGTCGCATGTCGATGTGTCCTTGAGCAAGACACTTAACCCCAAATTGCTCCTGTAGTTGTGCCTACGGTGTAGAAATGTGATAGAATCTGAATTGTAAGTCACTTTGGATAAAAGCGTCTGCTAAATGACTGTAATGTAATGTGCAGCGTCTGTGTGCTGACTGGCTACAAAGATGCTAATCCCTATATTTACAGAGACAGACGGCACGGACAGTAAACTCTGAAAGGATGAAGATATTAATAACATCTTTTGTCTTATTTACGGTTCTTGTCCACTAAAATATAGCTTGAATGCTGTTACCATAGTAACATTACATCCGTATACAGTGGGGGGGAAATGTACACAGTTAAAAATATTTGTTGTGTGAAATAAACCAAATGTTTTCATGTCTAATAAAAGATGGATGAATCTCTCGTATTGTCAAATAACAGTTAAATGTGATATGGAGAGTTAAATAGTTTTTTTTTTACTCGTATAAAGAATAATCAATGAGTTTATTGGGGGGGGGGTGTAAATGTCACAGAGTGATGTTCATCATCTGCAAGCAGAAAGAAAAAGGAATGAATGAATTAAAATGAAAAGTGAAAATAATGTCTTAGAACACTAATGAAAGTAGATATGATGTCATCCCCACACGCTTCCTGGCTTCATACCATCTGTTACATAGATTTGGTGCTGATTGTAACCATCTTTACCAGTGGAGGATTGAGAAAAAAACAGTTTTGTCAAAATAATAACGAAGCAGAAAAGTGTAGAGATGATGCCAGAGTTCAGGCACTGCACCACAACCTTTTCTTTTAGTAAATACTTTGAGTTGAAAATAGATTGTGGCTCTGCTGGTGGCGGGGCCATGTCGGTCTGCTGCTCTGTCTCATATCTGAAACATCTCATCTGTGCTTCAAAGGTTTCAAACACCTGCTGAGATAACGACGTTCCAATCAGCCTCAGCTGCAGTTTGTGTTGTGGCACTTAGCAGAGGTTAGCATGCTAACATGTTAGACTAAGATGGTGAACATGGTACATTATTACCTGCTTAGCATCAGCATGTTCACATCGTATATTATTGTGAGCATGTTAGAATGCCAACAATCCGACAACAAAACATGTCTTTTCTTTGATAAATGCTGGAACAGAATCAAGTCTTGTCGTGACTTCCAACTTCTTGACTCTCACAGAACACAGTGTATTTACAGTGCAGGGCTGTCACTGTGTATTCACAAGAAGAACCTTCATCTAATGATCAAAATGTCAAAGTCTGCAAGCCAGCCGACCGTATGAAGTAGTTCACCTTGCTGTGCTGAGGACACTCTCAGTTTGGCCTATTGCATGCCCTGACCTGTCACTACACTGAGCTGAACAGTGATGATGGAGGGGGACACCAGCGAGCAGAGTGATTGGATAATTACAACACAGGGAAAATATGAAGACTATGCTGAAGTCCAACTTACTCTTTGTAGCCACACATGCTGTTAGTCAGTGACAGCCCTAGTACAGTATGATGCAATTGTAAAAGATCTGGGCTGGTATTTCTTTTACACTGTAGTTGCTGGACTCCACTTCTATGGGCCTGTCTGTAGCCTTCTAATGGGACACAGTGCTACACATGTCCTCTGACAGGTGTGCGTTCACCACGCACGGGTCTGGAGCCAGAGGTGCTGCATCAGCACTGTGTGGCTAACAGCTAAACCAGCTGCCTGACCCGGTGAATGAACAGAGCCGCCTGGGCCCCGGCTTCCTGTCATGATGAGGCAGGATTAATTGTCTATGTAGGTCAGCCCCCCCCCCCCCCAGAGAAGTATCAGCACCGTTTTCACACATTTGGGAAAGATCCAGCAAGCCTGTGAGTATCGGAATGTGATGAGGAGAGCAGGCGCTGACAGCAGGAACAGGTGTTGTGTTCTTCAGAGAAGAGGAGCAGACCTCACTAAGCCGTGGACATCTCCATAAACAGGAAGTGGTACAGGACTTTTGTAGAACGTCTTCTGACCACTTAGAGCACTGTACTCTACATGTTTTCATTCACACACTGATGCCATCAAGGAACCACCTGCCCACCAGGATCAATGTGGGTTCAGTGTGTGGCCCAACATGTGGATTGGAGGAGCTGGGGATCCAACTACAGTAAGTGGTCTATTTCACCCAATCCCTCTTCTTTATACGTGGACCTCCCTCTCACACAGAAGAGCAGCAGCCTCCTCTGTGGGGAGCAGGGTGTGCTGCTGCTCTATAGTGAGTCATTGCACTCTCAAAAAGGAGCTGATTGTTTATGATCTTTCCAGTAAACTGTGAAAAATACAAATTATTTCAGATGGATTTATTTAAAGATAATACTGTATACAAATATCTGGTACAAAGGCACGTCGTTTTATCCTCACTTGAATCATCAACCAGGACTACAAACAGTACAAAACACACAGTATTAAAAACAAGAGCAGCATTCTCATCTTCAGAGGAGTTCCCTGCAGCCTGGCTGAGGAGTCTTTAGTTTAAAAGGGACAGCGTGCAGGATTTAGTGGCATCTAGTGGTGTGGCTGCATACCCCTCGGCTCACAGGACTGCAGTGAACCTGTGGTAAGGCCATGAAGACCTCGTACCACGATCACACTACTGTAGGCAGTCAGAAGGCGGCTCGTGTTAACGCGGTTCCACAAGTGAGTCTGAACTACGGTGGTCCTCAGGTAACCTACCAACGTGAAAGGCTGTCTTTAGTTTGCCCGCTCTGGGCTCCTGTAGAAACAAGGAGTCCATTCCCTCTGTAGGTACGAAGGACTCAGGTCGTTACACACTAAACAGCTCCTAAACCTACACACCGGCCCTTTAAATGATTCTTCAAACGTCCTGTACTATCCAAACTAAAGGCACAAATCTCAACTGTAGTACTTATTGTAAACTGTGAGAGTCACATTTTTTGAGGATCAGGAACATTTAGTTCTCTCTGTATACGTCAGCAAGGTTTCAGAGAACAAATGGCAATAATTAGAGACTAGAGGCCGATTCCATCATAGTTCATCCTTCATATTGGGTTCTTCTTCGTGGATGTTACGCTCACACGTGCACACAGCAGAGTGGTCGTCGGGCTGAGGCACCAGCTCCATGTCTGCGTGCCGTGTAGGCTGACCCGTCTGCCGCTCAGAGTACATGTGCATCACGGTGTAGTAGTAACAGTACAGCCTGCCGGGCTGCAGCAGCTCGCGGACCACCGCCTGTCCGGCTCTGGCGATCTCTTGTGCTTTGGCGTCGTTCTCTTTGGCCCATTGGATTTTGTCCAGAAGGTCGGACAGGTTTCTCTGGACGGAGACGTAGTGCGTGCCTGCTGTGAGGTGGCCGTAGAAGTATTCATAATACTGAGAGTCCTGCTTCAGAACCAGACTGTTCCCCAGCATCAGGTAAGGGAACCGATACGCTGCCACCGTTCCATCCACGTTCACCTGGTACTTGTACTAAAAGAGTAAAAACATTTTAAGTATCAAGTGATTCTGGAAGTGAGTGCATTTATTTATTGTGTGTATCTACTTGTGGCCTTGAGCCTTGTGCATCCCTTTAAAAAAAGAAATAATATACGGGTGTTATCGTCCACTTCACTGAGTTAAATCCTTTAACCAACTTCAGCAACACATTGCCGCTTTACATTACAGGAGAAAAGTGAATTCAATGAAACTTTCTCTCATGTGTTCATGTTTCCTTACCTTGAAGAAGTCAAAGAATCCAACGAGCGGCGCTTTGCCCACATCTTTCTCCCGGTCTCTGAAGAAGAACCAGCCTGTGATTCCTGCGTCCAGCAGCTCGGGGCTCTTCTTGGACAGAGACACCAGCTGGAGACGCTCCTCTCGACTGTCCCGGCCACGGAAAAAGGCCCGGTCCGTTTTGTTCATCCACGGAGGCCCTGGAGGAAGTGGTCCAAATGTTACCCCAAAAGAGACTGTGACCATGTGATGTCCAGAGAATTTAATAACCAACCGGACATATCACAGGGAACATTAAACTGAGCTAAGTGTGCAGTTCAATATATCAATGAAATGCCTTTTATGTAATTCCATATTTCTTGTCAGGGCTGAACTTGTGCTAGGAGACATTAGAGGGTAACTATTCTACTTCCACATGTTTCTGTGTCGAGGTGACCTCAGAGCTCTGCAGCTCTCAGCCAGAAACAGGCTGAGATGTAATCCTTCATTTAATGTGTCGTCACTAAAGCTGCTCGTTGTCAGCACCGACAGCTCAGATTGTTAGTGTCTGAAAACATTATGGAGAGGAACCTACAGAGACACAAACCAGCCTCCAAACTCCCATTCAAGGCTCTGCATGCACAGCAACACACCAATCACAATCAATTCATCAGATGACCAAAGCAGGCCCGTATTCACCGAGCACAACCTGAAAGGAGTGAGGAACACTGTCAGCTGTGTAGAAACATGTGGGCTACAGGACGGATGATGTTGACCAATAACAGCTATTTTGTCATCAGGTGGTAGAAATTCCTGTATTTTTAATATATATTGCAGAAAAAAATAGCAATGTCTGTTTTTCCCCACTATCGTGAAGCTCTAGTTCAAACCACAGGAGCAACAGTGAGGCACCATGTTGACTTTAGTCAAGAGCCCACAGTAACGTACAAATACCAGTCTGCATAACTTTAGCAGCTACATGTTGAATTAAAAGTGTTAGTATTGAAACTGGTCAGTCTCTGGATCTAAAGACCAAGGTACCACATGAACTCATAGATGATGGGTAACGTACACAGATATTCAAATCAATACCTGAGCTTCACTTCTGTGCTACAGCAGGCCTCACCGTGGCTAAGGAGCGAGTGTGTGTGTGTTACCTGTGTTTCCCTGGATGGACAGCAGGTCATTGGTGACACCTCTCATAGTCTCCAGGGTGGAGTGTGTGACCTCATAGGTGGGGAGGACAATGTCCCGAGTGTCTACAGAGCCACACCACGACAAGACCGGAACAGCATCCGCCCTCCTCGTCTCTAACGGCCAGTCGCCCACATTGATGAAGAACTCCACATCAGGCACCCTCACCTTCATTAAAGATCCCAGGAGACTGAAATCAGCAACCACGTGACGCCACGTGCAGTCTCTGCAGTAGCATTAAGATATCACATGCAGTAAATGGGCCAGTGGGGTCCTCGACATCTACAACCTTACCTTCCTGGTGAGGGAGAGCAGCATTTCGTCAGAGAACATCTTGAAGTCGGTGTATTTCCCCAGCGTGCGGCGGTACAGCTGGTTGTTGATGATGGCGTAGTGAATGAGGCCTCCTCTGTTGATGAACCTGTGAGGCACTTCCTGTCTGAGACGCTGCAGGTCGATGGTTGGAAAAGCTTTGAAGTCCGCCACAACCTGAGGTTCCTCGGCGGGACACTGCATGATGCTCTGCCAAACGGAAGGCTCGGGCTCCGGACAGTCGCAGTACTCATGATAGACCGGACCTGAGCGTGAGACATCACACTCTGGGTTAGATGAGGGAGCCGAGGTGGCTCTCGTTCCATCTTACTGTCGGCACCCTCAGAGTTAACGGTGCAAGTGTTACACTCTTGTTATGAGACTAGAAATGAAATGTAGTCCGGAAAACGGTGGTCATGTTTTTGAGACAGTGTGGTTACAACACCTCTTCACGTTTAAAGCACATGTTGTGCCGTGAAGTGAAGCACAATTGCAAAACAATGATATGAGTTTAATTAGCATTAAAATGGCAGGCTCCATGAGGCTGTGTTTTAAGGCCAGCACCCACTGTGCATCCATTAGCAACACGGCCCTATAGTGTGTGCAGTGCGTCTGTCTGGAGGAGGGATCCTCCCTGAGGCTGCTTCCTTCTTTTTATTCTGTATTGGAGCTCACGGGACAGAGGGTGTTGTGTGCTGCACAGATTTTAAAAAAATCCCTTTTGTGATATTGGACAATATAGATAAAGAGCACTTGACTTGACTAATTAACCTGTGCTGGGTTGTTATCCCTGCATGACACAACACCAACCTTGGATGGTGTAGGGTGACTTGGCAACAGCAGCATCTCGGTGGCGGACCTCCACCTGGAGGCCCGTCAGCACGGTGCCGTAGAGCCGGTACCTCACCACGAAGGACCCGTCCCCTCTGTCCAGAGGTGGGGGGACGTGGATGCGGATGTGCTCCTTCTTGTCCAGCGGAGTTATCTTCACTTGAAAGGTGTCTTTACCTGAGCAACACACGTACACAACATGTCAGTGCCCTGGAGGACTCCGTCATCTGAAACACGACGGCCCTTTGTTGTTAGCTGACCGAAGACATTCAAAGACCTTTTTCAAACGAGCACTACAACTGTGTTGAGGCTCAGGGAGACATCAGTTAGGATTATTACACAGTGGTGTGTTCGCTCAGCACGTCTCTCCGACGCTAACTCGATCAAACCATCGTTGAATGTGGTCTAGGTTACATCTGTTGATGGCGGACATAACACAATGTTCACAAAACGTTAGTTGTAAAAAAAAAAAAAAAAGAATAGGCAGGAAATGAGCTAGCTTAGCCTTTTGGGAGCAACCGCTCCAGCGTTTCAGTGATCCAATGTTTGACCCCGGGGCTCTCTGAGAACACACGGTGTTTGTGGTCGGTTTACCTGGAGACAGAGTCAGGTTCTCTCCGTTTGAACCGACCGCCTGGATGAAGAAGTAGCGGACAGGTAGCACCGTGTCGGCGTTCAGCCCTGGACCCCAGATGAGACATCTCTCTGAGGGGATTCCTTCACAGCCAGACACCGGGGAGTTTATGCTGATGAATACCACCAAAACTATCAACTTAACAATTAAACCATCCCGGAAAGGCTTCACTAAGTCTACGCTACGCTCACACACCATATTCCTGCAACTGCTAACAGTTACGAGTCTAAATGTATTAAATATTGACTGTAAAGTTTTGATAAAAACTCCTACGCTGACATGTTGGTGAAGAGAGACACGCCCACTTTCCGGTAATGCCTTCACGGGATGTTGGAAATGTTAGTTGCGGGTTGTGATTCCGGACTTTAGACTCAGCTGTTGTGGAGCATTCACCCACAACACAACACTACAGATCACAGCCTAATATATTGGAATACATAAAGTCATTCATAAATAATCTGTTGGTGTCATTGGTTTTATATGACAATGTCGTTAGGATACCCATTATTTTAGTTAGTGTATATATTATTAGGTAAGTATTAGTATAAATGATCTACCTATGTACACATTTTTATACTTCATACTGTCAACTTTTGCAACACTGTACAGCTCTTTCAATTTAAAACAGATACTGCATATAGTACATATTTCAATAATATTTTGTAGCATAAAGTATTAAAATCAACACTGCTGTTTTACATCTTTATTTCTCATGAATTCCCATTTTGGCCTACAGATATGTTTCTAAAAGTGACTGTACTGATTGTACAAAAGGTAATGACGTGTACCTGAGTCCATAGACATTGTCGTAGTGATGTTACTGGGTGATTTTGATGGCAGTATTTGTACACATGTTATGGCACAAGTTGAACTCGTTCTCGTTCACTGCATCAGTATCACACATGCTTAGATGAACACTGTACCATTAACAGTGTTCATCCAGTGATTTTTGGTCTAGCATGATCTCCGGGAATAAACAGACTGTGTAGTCAATCAGAACATTAGTAAGCAAAAATGTTTTCTGTTCTGTGTCCCAGCTTGTCCAGATTTGGGAGACATGCCTTCTGGATCATTGGTGGAGGACCACACAGGACAACGAGGACATCAGTGGACGGAGCAGGGAGGTGGTACTTGATGATGTCATCGGTCACAAACCCTGAACTGTAGCTCCACTCTTGAGGACGAGACAAGAGAGAGAAAGATCAACCTTCACCATCAGAGAAACTGATTTTAACAATTCACAGCTCAACATCTTATCTTTGTTATAGTCCGAATGAGAACACATACTGCCATCCTGCTTCTTTGCTGCATAATGTAGTTTATAATATGATTTAATCACCAGAGAAGCCTGGCTCTCATTTCATCTCTAAATACTAAATATGGAACACTGATGCTAAATCTTTCTTTCCACGGGTGAAGGGTGAGCAGAGCCAATCAGAGGATCTCTTCTTCTCAGATGCATGAGATGGGACATTCAAAGAAAGAATGAAATTAGTAATGAAATAATCTGCTGAGTCTTTTTTTCTCCAGGGGAAGATTTCAGCTGGTCAATGAAGCCATCATGATGAAGTTTGTTCAACCTGCTCTTTCATCCACAGATGTCTCCCTCCAAGGAAAACACATAATGACACACTAACAAACAGCAAGTACACTCTTTTTAATGAATAATGATCAAGGACCGATGTGTTTCTGCTCTGTGTGGAGCCAATGAAAGCCGAGACAGAAGACGAGCAGCCTTACAACAGACATTATATAACTACATTATGCTCATTCATTGCTGCTTGCTTTAAGGATTATGCAAAGGTAGACACGAGCGTTTGGCTAAGCTACTGAAACACCTTGTTGGAACTATCTCCCTCCTCCGCCTGCAGAGATTTTCCTTCAGCCAAGAACTCTTTGTTCGGTTTCCCACTCTGAATATTCAGCAGTGAAACCAAAGAGCCGGGCTTTCACACTGATTTATTCACATTCATGTAGCCTGGCACTACCCTAATACTCACATGGACTGTATATCCTTTATGGTAACATGATGAGATCAGTCAGAGAAATGTTTCCACCAGAGCCCACAATATGGGAAGTAAGCACACGTGTTTAACTGTTGAAAGTGTTTCTCCCCATAAATCTGATATTTCTATTTAGCGTCATGTTTCTGGCAACCTGATGAGTGTGATATTTACTCTCCAATGCATTGACTAGTTGGGTGACAATTCTCTGTGGGTTCATCACTACAAGCGACCCCTTTCACATTGCCACCCGTTCAGCTGTAAACCTATAAATATTGATATTTTGCATTGTTCTAAAACATGGCAGCATCTGTTTCATGTGCTAGTGGGTTTTTTATCTCCGCCTGGAGGTTCTTGGGATCAGTCGCAGCCGTGAGTGAGAGTGCACCTCTGTGTCTGTCCACGACGAATCTCTACTGCTGCTGCAGCACACTGCATCATCTTTTGGGTGGCCAGTTAGGCCTGCATGCTCCAGGACCTCTTGTGGTTACAGAGACTCACACTTTCTCAGAACACCTTTTATTACCTGTTTTATGCTGCCGGCTGACTCCTCACTCACTGCTCTAAACCAGCCCCCGGCCTGTAGGGCCGCTAGTGATACCACAGCTGAGTGCATCTCCAACCCCAAGCTGCTACTCTGCTTCCACAGTGAGGGGACAACGGCTGTCGTGCTAACAGGACTACCAGTACACCTACTGCTGATAGCTCTCGGCCGCTGCTCTGCAGCTCACTGTTATTATTTTGTACGGTGTGTTTGGCTAACCGCTAACAGCTAACGGAAATACTAGCCACAAAATGTAACACATTACTGTTCTGAATTCATTGGACTCTTGACACACTACTTCCAAGATGCGCAAGCATGCTTTTGATGAGGTTGGCTGTCAAAGGATCTATATATAATGTTTTTTTTGTTTGTTTTTGAATAGAGGAGATAATGTGTGTTTTGATTAAAAAAAACAGAAAAATCCATCAAAAAGCAGGTGCTCCTTTAAAACACAGGGTAGCTTGTATTGAATAGAGTTGCATAGTTGCCTTACCCTGTGGAGGTTTGTCCAGAGTGAACCAGAGCTCAACTTTATCAGGGTGGTTCCTCTTCACCTCCTCTAGCTCCTCCCTCAGTAGGATATCTTTCTCCGTCTGACGGGGAGTAAGTGAAAGAGATTTGATTTCTATTCATAGAAATAGAAATAGTAATTCCTTTTAACAATGACACACAAGGAAAGATGTCCGTAAACAACACCACACATAGCTGACCTGGTTGGCAAATATAAGGGAGCACTTGGTGTTGTCAGTGGGGTCTGCTGTGATACTGCGGATTAACTGCAGCATAGGAGTGATGCCTGATGGAAAAAATACATTGAAATGAGTCTGTCTAACTGAGGGTATTATGGGGGGGGGGGTTACACACTGTTACCTTTTCTAATTGTACATAATGTCAACATCAAAGACAATATCATTAAATGGTCCTGAAAGTTAAACAGCATTACAGCTTTGGGTGTAATGTATGTGTTCACATGAGAATGCCTCTATGTTCAACACACACACCATCCACTACAGCTGCTGCTGTATGATGCAACGTATTACTATCAGTCAATCACTTCCTTCTCCCTCACAAAGCATTTCATCCTGCAGAGATGTCAGCCTGCTGAGCCTCTGTGATGTTCTTCTGGATTACCTACATACAGTAATGTACATTAAAATGATTGAGAGTTTACAGAAATGTACATGGACCTGTTCCACCAGCGACCATTCCAACATGCTTGAACTTCCGAACTTTGGGCTCTGACTTCTTGTCTGGTCGGATGGAGAAGTGACCTGAGAGAAAAGTCTCAGCTTTAGAATGTGTTTGGCAGCCAGAGCTGCTTGGACAGTCTCACATTGTACCACAGTGACATCTGCTGCTGGGAGTCAGTGTTTTCACTACTCTCTCTTTCCCCTCCACACAAGCACACACACACCATACCGTGTCCCTTGTACACAAGCAGTCCATTGGGTCCTCTGAAGTCCATGACGTCTCCGATAGCCATGTTGTCCAGGTACTGAGACAGCTTCCCTCCCTCTGGGAAGGAGGGGTGGCAGCTCTTGTAGTACACCTGGAGTTACATAAAGGACACAAGTGTTTCACTCATCATTGCCTCTCACCTCTTAGCATTGTTAGCGTAGCTTGTTCTGCTCACATGAGTGTGGATGACTTTAGTTAATATGAAATGATATAAAACCTCCACTTAAACCTGTATACGTTGATTATCTTGTAAACATTGGCTTATTTTCACCTCATATGGCTGACATAGCAAACAATATATATGATATAGCATATTAACACATTGTGCAGACAAGGAGCACCATTAGCCTTCATCTGGAGTCATGTTTCTGTCTGTCTAGCTGCTAAATGCTCCACTATGTTAACCAGCTAGTGGCTAACTTTAATCTCTGGCTGGTATTGATCCTCTTATAGCATCTTTTAATGGCTTTAGTTAATCAGGAATATTTCAATAGAGGGGTAGACAGCTGCAGAATATCCGTGCATGTCCATAAAGCATGAATAACAAAAGCCGTTGCTTCAATAGAAAGCTAGTAGAGAGTGGTACTGCTAAAGAACAACAATAACACCTCTGCAGTTAATATCAGTAATGTTACCTACCTTGACCACAAGATCCACATATCCCTGGTCCTCATCACTGGATACTGGAGTGTAGGCTCTGACCACCAGACTGCCGTTGACCTTGGCTGACAGGTACACGTGCTGACCTGGGCAGGGGACAAAGGGGGGACGAGCAGGGAGGATGTGTGAGATGGGAAAATGTTAAAGTACGATAGAAACAAGCTGTATTTAAACCTCCAGACTATTGCACTGCAGCTTGGGACTGTAATAACTATCTAATACACCAGCATATGTTACATTTGGAAAGAGTGACTTTTTATTGCTCTATATCTTGTCTTTTACCGATTTACCACCTAGTATCCTTTGATGTGTTGGAATCACTCAGAATGATTACAAACAGAGCAAGAAATGTCATCTTGCATTCTCATTTACTGCCATAGATACTTTATAGATTCAAGATACTTAGAATCAAAGAGCAATACACTCAGCACGTATACAGCCTGGAGCATTGGCAGAAAGTATTTCTGTTTGTCGTAGGAGAGAAAAAAAGAGAAGAGAAGAGCTGGTTCAGTACCTACTGGCAGTCCAAGGATATGAGTTGCAGATGGAAGACCAAACCGAAATTTCTTTGTGTCATGGCTGATTTCCTGCACAAAGACACACACAGGTTAGAAATGTCCTGAGAGACCGAGTGGTCTTTACACAGTACTTTTGACCAGTGGTGGGCCGTCAGGGCCAGCTAAGCCTTCTCTGCTGGCCTAAACACAATCACAAAGTTATAGCTATTTTATAATCTAATAATTTTTCACAAATACACTACATGTATTATAATTATTTTCCCATTATCTTATTTTCTCACTGCACAGCTCCTGTCTTCCTCAGTTGCTCTGCTTCCAGCACAGCTTGTTTTAAGTAGAGCTCTTATCCAATCAGATTTCACCTCTGTGTCTCTAGGTAAGAAGAGAGGCCCGATGCCCACTAGAGAGCCTTTGTACTTTAAGTGAATGGGGACGATATTGTTGATTGTCATAGTCTTCAACCAATCAGATCTTTAGTTTGACATGTTGGGCGTATTCTTTGACGTGCCAGTGCTACCCAGGAAGCCTCCTAAGTACGTCAGCATTAACGTGAGCTGTGATTGGTCAGTGGGCCAGCGCGTGACTAATGTGAAATTTAAGGAAGCTGGCAGAAATTAGTTGGAGGAGTAAGAGTTCAAATTGAAAGATATGGAAGAAATTATAACATTTGTAGGGTTTTGTATTTATTTATTTGTATGAACGGTGTTCCTGGCTGACAGCGTCACACATGTTATGGCTGTGAATGTGTTTCATTTTAACTGAGCGTCTTGGTGTTTGGAGCTACGCTACGCTAACCTGAGGACGCCATAGGGCAGGACACTACGGTGCTTTTGAAAACCTTTGGAGAAACACAAGTGGATCTACAGATCAACGAACACGTTCGCAGGGAAATGGAGCTCCACAACCGCCGTCCGCCTGCGGCCGGTCCGCGGGCCGGCGGAGGCGGGATCCCGGCCCCGCTGCGAACCGGCCGGCCGACGCAGACCGGCGAAATACAACTGGGGAGGCTCGACTGTCACTGGCGTCCATGACTCGAGAAGGAGTCTAATGTACAACCGTGGGATTGTACAGTAGGAGGATGGATTTTGTCTTTAAGTGAACAGCATTCGGTAAGTGACAAACTGCGTTTGTTTTTTTACATCTGCAGTAACATTACTACTGTTCATTTGTCTATCGTGTTGTTATAATGAATAATACTTGATGGCTCGTGCTCTTGTGTGGTGGAATGCGTGGATCCGCTGCAGGTCTGCTGGATTGATGTCATGCTTTGTTGTCATATGAATATATGTGACTGGTTCTTATGACTTTGTTGTTGTCATTGTGTTAATTACGTTGATTTGACTATGCATTGTCCGTTAATGACGCAGCGTCCCGTCATGCACGGATTCATGTATCTGCACCGTAGCTGTTCAACTGTAGTAGGACAGCACAGAAGGCCCAGGCATAGAATGCACGGCCTGTCACTGCTTTTGACCCATACACTTACCCAACCTACTGTTAATGGAGTTGGTTTCAAGCTACAGCTAGATATGAAAGAGTAAAATGAAATGGTAAATATTAGGCAGAAAACATGCTGACTACATCCAAATGAAGTTAGGACCGCTCATGGGTTTTATTGAACCAACTTGTAACATTATGGCCTGGAAACGTAAAAGGTTATTTTACCGGCATTACAACAGTCTCACTGTTTGTAGTTGTCATATAGACAGAAAATATGTTCTGTGGATGATCAGATTTGGTGAATTTTCAATGTGAGCATCACAATCACAATTCATTCTCTCAGTCAGCCACAACTCTAGAAGATACATTTTCAATACTTTACAACACTCTGCATGGCCAGAGGTAAGTGGCTTATTTATTGCTTGATGACGGTTTGTACAATGACAACAAACTGAATGAAGGACTTAGGAAATGATTAACATCGACTGTTGTACAGGTTGAATACTAACTTGCTGTATAATCAGGTTTGAGTGTGAACACTGATTCTTTGAACGTCTACCTGTTTGTCTACCAGGGGAAGGGGATATTTGACCACAGGGTCCTGCAGAGTGACAGGCAGCTTCTTCTTCTCTCCTCCCAGGAGGAAGTACAGCACGGTCACTACCACCACAGAAACAGCCGCCACCACCGGGAGTATCTGCAAGACAACCGCCGAGACATGCACTCAACACAACTACATGTCACGGTTATAGTGTTGTACATATGCAATAGCTTCCCATCAGTGCTGATTTTTCATTTCGCCACATTAACATGCATTATCAATGAGTTGCATTACAGTAGTTAAACAATATCAAAGAATGAAAGACCCCGAAAAGATAAAGATTTAAGAGGTGAAAGTTCATTCTCACCAAGCTCTGATCCATAGCTTCAACATGAAACATGTAGTGTCCTCCTCTCACTGAGTCAAGCTTCTGTCTGTCTCTGTCTGTCTGTCTGTGTCTCTCACTCACACACACACTCACACACACACACACACACACACACACACTCTCTCACTCTCTCACACACACACACACACACACACACACAGGCCGCTGAAGGGGGCGTGGCTTCCTGCTGGGTGAGAGGTGACAGAGGGTCCAAAGCACCAATAGGAAGACAGATCTCACCATCGTGGTGGTTCGGAGCAGAGCCTTGAAATCACACCACTGTCAGAGGAGGAGAGACACACAAACATTACATAACAGACACAAGATCACAAAGGTTTCTTTACAAATCAGAAGTGACAAGTACGTTCATTTTTAAAGCTAATAATTCTGGTTCTATGAACACAAAACATGCAGTACATTTTGAAAAAAGTCCTGAGAAGGTTGCAAACATCAGTTAACAATGTTTGAGTGGGGGAAAGTTATAAAGACTACTGAAATAAAAAGTCACCGTGCAGTGAAAACAATGATCATATCAACTTTATTACAGATGCATAAATGATAAGCACTGTACTAACATGAAAGACCTCATGTAGAAATATGGGTAGCACTTTACATTGAGTCCATGGATTTAGCATCTGTCAGCATTAAACAAACATTCAGTAAGGTGTTATAATGTACACTATTTGCCAGGAATTAAAACTTCTCCTGTGAAGATATATTTTATATTATTACATTTGTGCATGACTCGTCTGTTTACACGCACGCACACACACACACACACACACACACACACACACACACACACACACAC